ACCGACCCCACTCCCACCAGCGCTCCCGCCACCGCTCCCTCCAGCACCGCCTCCCCCCCCACCTCCCCCACCTCCTCCCCCCCCAGCGCCACCACCACCACCCTTGCCCCCCTTGCCCTTGCCGGTGCGGCGCCTCCCACCAGGAGCAGAAGCAGCGCCAACAGACTCAGCACCAAGGAAGTCAACAGCAGCAGCAGCAGCGTAGGAGGGAGCGAGGGGAGAGGGAGAACACCCCTCAAAGATGGGGGTGCGAGGAGCGCCACGAGCAGCACCGACAGCTACAATGCTCTTTTCGGCCGCGAGCAGCTGCTCCTCTAGGAGGGCGACTGTGAGCTCAGTGGGACAGCGAGCAAGGAAGTGGTCTCGAACTGAGCGGAGGGTGTCAGGGAGACGGGTGACTATGAAGTGGAGTGTCCAGTACAGTGGAGGGGGGTTCTTAGCGCAGAACTCGGTGGGAAGGGCGGCACGCGGACGAGCATCACTAGTGCGAAGGTGGGTGATAAGATCGGCGACTGTAGTAAAGGTGGACAGATCGGGGAACAGGTACGGCAGCATGAGGCGGCTAAGCTCAGCTGTGGCAGGCGAGGAGTAGCGAGCAACGACAGCATCGTACAGGGCCTTAGCGGATTTGCAGTCGCCAAAATGCTCGAGCTCAGCTAACGGCAGGTGACTGCGAATGGCTAGGCGAGCAGCTGCGTCACGAGTCTGCCAGTGGGAACGAACACTAAGCTCGGCTGTGGCAGCAGGAGCAGCGGCAGCACCAGACGCGTAGTCATAGAGGGAGATGTGGTCCGTGCTATTGCTCATAAGATACAACTGCAGGTCGTCGAGCCAGGAAGTGAACTGCACGGGACGGCCCTCAGCATCGAAGGAAAGAACGCGAATAGAGGCCATAGCTCAGGCGTGAGGGCACAGCAGAGCAGCGGCAGCAGCAGAGGGGACGCGCTAGAGCGAAGCTAGCAGCCACAGCAGGAGCAGCAGGCGAGAAGCGCGGCGGGCGGGCTGCGCAGCAAGCGGGCAGTGAGGCAGCGGGCGACGCTGCTTAGCAGGTAGCGGGCGGGCGGGCGGCGCTGCGAGCGGGCAGCGAAGCGGGCGGGCCGCGAAGCGGGCAGCGAGCGAGCGGGCTGCGAAGCGGGCGGGCCGCGAAGCGGGCAGCGAGCGGGCGGGCTGCGAAGCGGGCAGCGGGACGAGCGGGCTGCGAGCGGGCGGCTCGGCGGGCGGGCGACACCGTGAGGGGCGCGCGAGGGCGCTAGTGAGGGGCGCGCGAGGGCGCTAGCAAGGGGCGCGCGAGGGCGCTAACGAGGGCGCGCGAGGGCGCTAACGAGGGTGCGCGAGGGCGCTGACGAGGGGCGCGCGAGGGCGCTAACGAGGGCGCACGAGGGCGCTACGAGGCTAGGGCACGGGGTAGCATGGTAACCGCATGCGAGCGGTGGTGGGCCCTTAAAAAAAAAAAAAAAACGGTCGGTAGGTCCTAGGGACCTCCTGCTCTGAATACCATTTCAGAATAACTAGGCAAGAATGGATGAACTAAGAGAAGTTTGGGTACAAATATGAAACCCTAGTTGGGGTTGTACCCCATATTGGCTACCCCACTACAGCCTACAAGCATAATGCAGTTTAACACACTTACTCCTTTCGTTCATTGCCGTTCGGTCTTGCGACAGCCCCATTCGTCTTCACGCAACTCATCAAGCAGCTAGCCCGTCGCTGGCGAGAGCAAGGCATTCGAGTAGTACCATACGTGGACGACATCTTATTCCTTTGCCAGTCAAAAGCCCACGCGCAGGCCACGTGCCACCGTGTGATACTGGACCTTAAAACAGCTGACACCATCGCAACACCTTCGATTCTTGGGTGTGGAGCTAGACACGGTCACCGGCCGATTTACCATCGGTCCCGAACGACGAGCCTCACTTCATGCAACCATTCGGAACCTGTTGAGCGCAAGCAAGGCCTGTCGACCCGTCTCAGTTCGCCAAGTGGCCAGAATCACAGGCATGCTCGCGTCAATGGGCGTCGCGCTGGGTGCAACAGCTCGTGCCTTCAGCCACGCCATGCTACAAGTGATCAATGACGCACCTTCATGGAAAAGCAGCGTGATCATCCCCCCACCTGCGGCTGAGGAGCTAAACTTCTGGCTCGAAGAGTTTGATCGGTTCAACGGTGCGCCGTTTCACGTTCGAAACAGCTACGATGCTGTAATCCATGTGGACGCTAGCGCTCACAGTTGGGGCGCCACTTTGACCACCTTCCCTGGCGGCCTCGAAGAAGCCAGCGCAACAATGCCAGAGCCGCTGCGAGCGACGTCCAGCACACGGAGGGAGATCGAAGGAGTGCTTTGGGCACTCCAAACATACTCCAGCAAGATCAGACACAAACATGTTCTTGTGCGGGTGGACAATCAGGGCGTCTTCTTCATCCTTCGCAAAGGTGGCTCGCGCAGCCCCGACCTTACCACGGCCTGCCAAGCCATCATTCGGATATGCATGGAGCACGGCACGCGTCTAATCATCGAATGGATCCCACGCGAGCTAAACTCACACGCTGATGAGCTCTCAAAAGCAGTCGATCATGACGACTACTCGTTGAAGACGCCGTGGTTCCGCATCTTAGAACGACGTTGGGGTCCCCATTCCATCGACCTCTTTGCAAATCCCCGCAACTCTCAGCTGCCACGCTTCTGCACGAAAATTCCTCACCCACAAGCCATCGCAGTAGACGCATTTTCGCTCGCCTGGACAGCAGAAAATAGCTTTGCTTTCCCCCCGCCCCACTTAGTACCGGCCGTCCTCCATCACGCACAACGCACCCATGCATCGCTCACACTGATCATCCCACACTGGTCGAGTGCAAACTGGTGGCCACTCATACAACCTTCCCCACGAAACTGGGCACCGTACATCCACGCGCACATTCCCTTGACACACGGCAGCCAGTGCCTGGCAGCGGGAACACATTCCACTGCCTTTTCAGGCACCGGATTACCACACAGCCCAATGATCGCACTTCGGGTGGTATTCGACTAATTGAGAGCGTACGTGCCTTGTGTCCAGATCTGCTACCAAAGCTACACAACCAACTCATCAACATGCTCACACAATCGCGAGCGAATTCGACGATCCGTACATACGAACCGTACTGGACCAAGTTTCGGGCCTTCTGCACAAAGGTGGATCTTCCCTTTCTTCCCGCGTCCGACATGGCCCTCGCGCTATACTTGGTGCATGCCCTCTCTTGGAACTTGGATCCCCATCGCAGCAACGACGGACCCCTGTTGCCCAGTGCGCTGCACCCAACGCTTCATCCAACTCGCAGGCTATGGCCCGCATTCAGAAGGGTCGCTGATTCGCGTTTTTGGCCACGCTTCAGCCAACAAGGGCCAGGCCAAGCCACCCTCGTACACAACGATCCGGAACTGGTGTAAAGAAGCATTCGCAAAAGTTGGACTTGGGGAGCAGCAGCTCGGCACGCACTCCTTCCGAAAGGGCGCGGCAACCGTAGCAGCCAACATCGGCGTTCCGGACAGGATCTTCAAAAGGATGGGCAGGTGGCGAAGTGACACAGCCAGAGAGATGTACGTGACACCATACGTCGGACATCTTATCAAGGCATCCCGCGACCTACAGGACCCGACATACGCACTGCCCCCAGAACAGCATGCGGAGGCACTCTTACGCAACCGGAAGCCACCACTGCCCATGTCTCAGAGGCCCCAGTTGCAATGAGAACGATGCCAAATTATAAGGACAAGAAAGCAAGCTTTCTCAATATTATAATTTTTAAACACATTGATGTTTTTCAAAATTGTGTATTGTGAAAGCGAAGCTGCCTGTACCGAATATTTGGCAGCGTCGAAGCGCGCTAAACGCCCTTCTCCAACTACAAAAACCGTGGGTTGGAGTTCATTCCCTCCACCCACGTTTCTCGTTTTCCAACGGCTCAATCAACATCCCCACCACCCACCCCGGACCAACTACAAGACCACAGCTGCTTGGACGGACGACTCCATAGCTAGTAATATTTGCATGTACTAGCATGTGTTTAAGAACGATGCATATGTTGTAATAAGCCAGTTGCAATGAGAACGATGCCAAATTATAAGGACAAGAAAGCAAGCTTTCTCAATTTGTCCCATCAAGGCACATCATGGAAAACGCAACAATTCCCCGGGTTTCCTACAACACATCTGCAGCAACACCTTTTCTCTGCTTGGGATTCCTGAGGGCCCGCTCAATCTGCCACTGGGGGTTGCATTACAGTAGCAGGGGCATAACTTGTACCCACATGCTGTGTGTGTAGCTGTTGCTTAAGAAATTACTTCATATCCACAATAATTTACTTCTTCATGAAGTACGGTAGTACGTTTTTCTGTTGTTATCTTCTTTGTGTTGTGAGCATGCAAATGCAAACAGTCCTTGTACATTGCTCTGATAGGTTGACCTAAATGTTGATTGCAAATGCAATCCCCAACCAGCCCTCATTCACACTTACGTAAGCGCATAGATACAGTTTTGACTATTTTCTCGTAAAGCGCGTAAGCAGTAGAAGAAGCCTAGGGAAGAGACGCTAACTAAGGGATGCACAAGATTAACCTACAGGAACATTCAACTAGTCGACGGTACGAAGGAAAGGAGGCAGGTACAAAAAGGCTGTGCAATTTGTGGGTCCGTGAAAACCCAAAAGGGTGAGGAGGAAATCAAAGAGAGCTGCAGATGAGAGGAGAGAAGCGAAGGGGAGGCACCACCACCCACTGGCAGAAAGCTACCCCAAGAACTAACACCACCAAAACTGCTGCTGCTGCCGCCGCTGCTGCTGCTGCTGCTGCTGCCGCCACTGCTGCTGATTGTATGGCTTCTTCTAGACGCCTAGCTGTTTTGCTGATCCGAAGGGTGTGTCATGTGCAGGGCATGCGTTGCATGTGTTGCATGTGTGTGACATGTGTGTCGCGTGCGTGCGGCATGTGCATGGCATGTGCGTGCGTGGCATGTGGGTGCATGGCTCTACGAGTCTGAATCGCTCTCCTTCTTTGTGAACCACTCTAGCTGCGGGTGGAGGGGCAAGGGGAGGGAGGGAGTTATGGAGTGAGGGAGAAACGGAGAGAGAGTGAGGTGCGGAATCTAGAATAGAAACAAACTAGGTGAAGCGAGAGTGGAAGCAGGTTAGAAAGCTGTGTGTGTGCATAGCTGTGGGCGTATATGTGCGAGTGCGCGTTTGCATGTGTGTGCTTCTGTGTGTGTGTGTGTGGGAGCAGTGCACAGCAAGACAGAGGAATGTGGCAGCAAGGGTAAAAATGGGGGGAAAGGGAAATGGGTGAGGGTGGTATGTTAGAGCAGAGAGAGGCGAGATAGAGAAACAACCACCTAGAACGTCATTACACTCAAACATGAGCCATTCCCACCAATTCCCACCCATTCTCACCCGATTCCCACCCATTCCCACCCATTTCCACCCACTCTCACGCATTCCCAGCCGCTCCCACCTTCCAGGCGTAGAAGAGCGTGAAGACAATGACGTCTGCGGTCCACACAGCAGCGAAAGACTTCCAGACGAGCGGCAGCGTGACGTTGACTAGCGGGACAACGAGGAAGAGGTAGTTGAGAGCTGTCTTCTCGTTCTCACTGCAGTTCCTCGCTCGCAGAGAGGGGATGGCTGGGGAGCAGAGTGGGGGGAAGGGGAGGAGGGATGGAGGAGGGGGAGGGGAAGGTGGGGGTGGGTGGAGGAGAGAGGAGATGAGGGAAGGGGAGGGGAGGAGGGGAGGAGGGAGGGAAAGAGAAGGATTGAGAGTGAATGAGTGACGTGCTAAAGAGGGGAGGAAGATCGGTGAGAGGCAGTGTGGCGTTGACTAGCGGGACAACGAGGAAGAGGTAGTTGAGAGCTGTCTTCTCGTTCCCACTGCAGTCCCTCGCTCGCAGAGAGGGGATGGCTGGGGAGCAGAGTGGGGTGGAGAGCAGGGGAGAGTGGGGGAGGGGGAGCAGGGGTGGAGGAGGGAGGAGACGCAGGGATGGGAGGGAAGGGGAGGGGGGGAGGGAGGGAGGGGGAGGGATTCAGGGGAACGAGTGAGCGAGATGGGTGGGAGGTGAGGGATGGGATGCGTGACGTTGACTAGCGGGACGACGAGGAAGAGGAAGTTGAGTGCTCGCAGAGAGGGGATGGCTGGGGGGCGAGGTGGGGAGGGAGAGCGGGGGAAAGTGGGGGAAGGGGAGGAAGGTTGGCGGAGGAAGGAGATGAGGGGAGGGGATGAGGGGAGGAAGGAGGGAGAGAGAGAAAGATTCAGAAGGACGAGTGAGTGAGGTGCAAAAGAGGGGTGGGAGATGAGGCAGCATGAGGAGATACAAACACACCCATACAAGCCCCCAAGTACAAAAAAAACCCATCGTGCCACTCACTGAACATCCAGACGGACCACATGCCCATGAGACGCCAGATGTCGGGCTCATCGGAGGGGAAGAGCAGGTTGAACGAGAGCAGTCCGCCCAGCGCCATGCTGAGGTAGGCTTGCGCCTCAAAGATGCTGTACAGGGCTGATCCGGGCACCGCGGGGTTCTTTGACTTGGTGGACGCGCGCGGAGCAAAGGTCGTTGCTGTTTTCTTTACCACCTGGGAGGTAGGGAGGCGGGGGGGGGGGGGGGGGGTGTTCCAGGTGGAGGGGACGGGAGGGGACGGGTGGAGACAGGGGAAGGGAGGAGGAGAGGTTGACTGAAGGGAAAGGGGGGGACGGGACAAAGGGGAGGAGGATGAAAGGGACGGAGGGGCGAGAGAGGGGGGGTTGAAGGAGAGCCGGTTGAACGAGAGCAGTCCGCCCAGCGCCATGCTGAGGTACGCCTGCGCTCCAAAGATGCTGTACAGGGCTGACCCGGGCACGGCGGGGTTCTTTGACTTAGTGGACGCACGCGGGGCGAATGTGGTTGCTGTTTTCTTTACCACCTGGGGAGGGGTTGAGGGAGGTTGGGGTGTGGAAGGGAGAGAGGGAAAGGGGAGGAGGCGAGAGGGAAGCGAAGCAGAAAAGGTGGCGAAAAAGGGAGGAGGAAGAAGGGGCAGGTTGGAGGAGGAGAGGAGGGAGGAAGGGAGGGGCGAGAGGTGGGTTGACGGAGAGCACTGGCATGGTGGGGTTCTTAGACTTGGTAGACATGTAGATGGCACTGCCCTTCCCCTCTGCCAGTGCCCTCTAGACTTGGTGGACGCGCGCGGGGCGAACGTGGTGGCTGTCTTCTTCACCACCTGGAGAAGGGAAGGGGGGCGGGAGGGAGGGGAGCGGGGGAAAGGGAGGAAGGGGAGAGGTCGGGAGAGGGAGGGGGGTGGGAGAGGGAGGGGGGGCAAGGGCAGGTATAGCACTGGCACGGCGGGGTTGTTAGACTTGGCGGACGCGCGCGGGGCAAACGTGGTTGGCGACTTCTTTACCACCTGGAGTGTGGGGGGGCGAGGAGGGGGGAGGGAGGGAAGGACGTGAGGCGAGCGGGAAACGGAGAGGAGAGGGACGGGAAGAGGCGAGGGAGGGGAAAAGAGAGGGGGAAGAAAAGAGGGTGCGTGGTTGCGTGATATGCCTGGGAGCAGGAGAGGAGAAGAGGGGAACTGGTTAAACAAGTGGAGTCTTGGGAAAGGGGGAGCGAGTGTGAGAGTGATTGATGAAGGGTCAAGGGAAAGGGGAGGCCGAGGGGGTGGGGAAGAGGAAGAGAAGAGGGGAAGGAGGGGTAACAGGAGGGAAAGAGGACGAGTAAGAGGAGCGGAAAGAGGAGGGGAAAGAGGAGGGGAAAGACGAGGAAAGGAAGGTGGGGAGATGGCACAGGGAGAGGCAAAGATGAATACTCGTGACGACCTGTTCGGGAGAGTGCGGAGGGTGGAGGCGGGCGGGCGGGGAATAATGGTAGAGGCGCAATGATGGGGGCGCAAGTGCGGGGAGATCGTGTGGGGGAGCGACGGTTGAGCGGAGGAGAGGGGGAGGGCAGGCGGGTTTGAAATCGGAAGGAGCGTGGGCGATTGGATTGTGCGAGGTGGAAGAGTGTGAACGAAGGAAGGGTGGCAGTAGGAGGGGGAGAGGGTAAGGATAGCGAGAGGGTTGGGCGAGATGTTACGTTGAAATGACGTTAAAGAAGCGGGGAAACGCGAGGGACAAGGGGTGGTCGGACGAGCAGGGGAGAAGGAATGGGAGTGGGGAGTGGCTAATTTCATCGCCAGGCACGGATTAACGCGCATAACGCGACCCGTGCGAGGAATAGAGGGAAGGTAAATGCAGGAAGACTGGACATGTCGTGTTCATAGTTCTTAACGCAACCGCGACGCCGCAGCAGCCAAAGCGGGAAAGAGTAGCAATGCGACGACGTGTCAACGCGTCTCGTATCGAACCTTGGAGATTTCTTTGCTGACGTCAACATCGCTGCTGTTGCCGTCATCCACCACTGGGCTCGCAGCGCTCTCTGCTTGCTGCGTTTCCGGCTGTTGAGCCGCGGCGCGTGTTATCGAGGACGAGCGCCTCGCAAATGCGCCTCGAGATCGCACAGGCAGGAGGAACGCTCCACGCGAAGCGACGCGAGATGCTGGAACCACTGTTCTGGCGACACGTGGCACAGTTACAGCCGTCTCGAAGACAACCGCGGTCGGAGCAAGCAGCGCCATGGCTCTGGTAGCTTCAAGCCACGTAATTAGGCGCTGAGGTGACGCGGCGTGGCGGATAAGCAGGGAATTCAAAACGTACGACGTGGCAGCAGGAAATCTCGAAATCCCGAAGTTGAAGGTAGAGTGGGTTTTGAGTGGATGAGGTGGGTGTGCACTGTACATCAGGAAGGCGAATGTATCGAAGGCGCGTACGCGATATCAAACTACTCTTTTGCTGGAAAGGAATGGCAAAAGTAGGAATATGTTCCAAAGGCAGAAATTATGATTTACTATTGCAACCAATTATTCTGATGCGTTCCACCCCAGAAATTATGATTTTATATGGCAACCAAATATTCTCATGTGTTCCACCCTACAACAGGCCAGTTTGGTCAGCCCAACAGCCCTTAAGGTACGCATGCAAAGAATATGTTACTACTACTGGAAACTTGACAGAACTATTAGTCTCAGACTTGTCATCAGCACTAGAGATAAGAAACTTCTAAGAGACATGGAGCCGCTTGCGGAAATCTTCAGCCATCAACGGCAAGCCTTCTCGCAGGGTCACCTGCAAAAACACAAGCAGAAAACTCAGAACCGATATACAAAAGCTCCACATACAGAAACACGCAGATAGTAGATGAGCAGACAAAGCGCAAAACGCACCTTCGGCTCCCATCCAAGAATCTCCTTGGCCTTGGTGATGTCTGGCTTGCGCTGGCGCGGATCATCAGGCGTGTTCTCCACGATCTTCCATGAGGCAGATGGCTCAATCAGCTATACACGCAAACACAAGGAAGGGGGAATGGTACGTTTTTCAAAATACACGAGACAGACGAATGGCCCTCAAGTGGATTGCATCGAAGTGCTCAGTACTAAAGTCACGGATTTCGTAAAGCAGGGCGCGCATGCAACGCTATAACCATCGGACCAGAAAACGCACCTCTTTGACAGCAGCTGCAAGCTCTAGCATAGTGAACTCGCCTGGAGGGAGGGAAGGTACAAAGGATATCTCAGCAGAGTATCAGAGCTGACTTAAGGGTTGAAAACATTAGTCTTCAAAAGTGCATCAGGGTGGATATGTCAGGGATAGGAGAGGGACAGACAGACACATCTGTGCAGCAAAAACCTCACAACATAGCTCATGCCATAGTATCGCGCAAAAGAAGGAAAAAAAACCAATGTCTTTTTAAAAAATTCCCCATCACCCACACCAGACCACCATCTCAGAAGCAATACCCCACAATGATCTTGCTTAAGCATGCTCATTCTTGGCAATCCACGCACCAGGGTTGCCTAGGTTGATGGGGCCAGTGACCGGGCCCTCCATGAGCTTGATCAGACCGTCCACCTGCACACACAAGGACGCAACGCGCAGAACAGGGAGCAGATAGGGGTGGGAGGAGGCATAGAGGAAGCGGACAGGGAGGGAGCAGGCCGGGAAGGGAGCAGACAGGGAGGGGGCAGGGAGGGAGCAGACAGGGAGGAGGCAGGGAGGGAGCAGGCAGGGATGCAGCAGATACATGAATGGATGAATGAATGATACTACAGTAAGATGGAGAAGAGGGGGGGAAAGCTTTGACGGGTGGTGTGATATAAACGCCAAGAGATGATATGGCACGTATGCATGATGAATGGGCTAAAATCAGCGAGTGGCAAGATACCATGTTTGTACCAGTACAAACGAAAACAGCATCTGAATGGCATTCGCACAGGGTTAGCGTGGAGTCGGCATGATAAGGGCATGATAGTGGGATGCTATAAAATGGGCACCACAAGAACGTTAGCGACCACGTACCACGTCAGCGACTACATACCAGGTCAGAAACTACATACCATGTCTGACACATAGCAGAAGCTACGGGTCTGTGTGCCTGGCGCCTGCACTGTGAGTTCCTCATTCCTGAACAGGTCAACAAGCAGGAGACAGAGACGGGTGAGGACACGCGAGATTAGACCGGAGGATAGGAACACGGCGGACCGGTTTCCTGTTCGTGAGATACGAAGTGGCTGGCTGTGTAAACAGAATGTTCTCCAGCTAAAATGGACTCGAATTCAGCAAAAACGTCAGCGAAACGGAACTGGAGACAACTTCTTGTCCTTCGCTGGGTTTAGTGTCAGGATTGAATCATATGAATAGGAGCACTCACCTGAAGGCCTGCGCGATGAAGTTACTGACGACACGGCCGTCGTCAATGTTCATGCGAGGTCCGTAGGTGTTAAAGATGCGCGCCACCCGGATCTCTGATGTGCGGGATGGAGAGAGGGGTGGAAATGGCGGAAGAAGTGGGGAGGGGGGGAGAGGGGGGGGGGGGGGTGGTGGATGGTGCTGGTGGTGGCAGGGGGGTTGTTCAGTGTGGCGCAGAGAAACTTCGGTACGAGGGAAGCGCGGGAGGGAGGGTGAGAGAGCAAGAGAGAGAGTTCGCGGGCAAAAGAGAGCGAAGCGTGGGACTGTTCGGGTGTTGTGGGAGGGAAGGCTGGGAGGCCCCGGGGAGAATGGAATACAACACATGACTAACATTCAATCAGAATCAAGCAGTCTACTTGGGTTCGCGCTTCACCATCCCCATCATTGCATAATTGCTTCATTCGTTTCCCCTTCGTGGTAAAAATGCTCCACCCTCCCCCCCCCTCCCCTCCCCCCTCTTCCACTGACACCGCATCCTTTCCCTATCAAAACAACCTTTCCCACCCCACACCGCATTCCCCCCAGTTCTTGCGACGTACCAACGCCGTGTTGCCGGTGGTAATCGAACATGAGCGTCTCCGCCACTCGCTTGCCCTCGTCATAGCAGCTCCGCACGCCTGAGAAGAGGAGAGAGTGGGAGGGAGAGGGGCGGGGGAAGGGGGGAAAAGTAGGGGAGAGGGGGAAAGAATGTGTAAGTGAGGGAGAGGGCGAGGGGGAAGGGAAGGATGAATTGACCATCAAACACTCACCGATCGGGTTGACGTTGCCCCAGTAGGTCTCCTTCTGCGGGTGCTCCAAGGGATCGCCGTACACCTCTGACGTCGACGTGAGGAGGATCCTATTTGAGGAGCAGGACGGATGACGACGAAGAGAGCAATAGAAGAAGAAAAAAAGGACATTCGTGACAGTGGTGAGAGGTAAAGCCGTTTTTCTAAGAAATAATCAATAACTGCCAGATTGAGAATTGCGTGAATCAAATCAAAAGCAAATGTCGTAAGGAAAAGGTAGAAGCAGAAGACCAGCACCCCTTACCGTGCTCCCACTCGCTTCGCAAGTCCAAGCATGTTCAGTGTACCCATCACGTTGGTCTTGATGGTCTGCAGAGACCAAAAAAAGCGTTCGCCATCAACATCACAGAAAAGCAGCGGATTTGAGTGTGATTGCATACTGAACAAAACAATCAGATTTTCGCATCTAAACATAATCTCACGCTGCATGGGTTGCCTTTCACCCAATCCTTTATTAATTAGATTATCCGTTCTTTTTAGTGCGTACCTTCACCGGATTATACTTGTAGAAGATCGGCGAAGCAGGACACGCCAGATGGTATATCTGATCCACCTCCACCAGAAGAGTCTCCGTGACGTCTGCGAACTCGAGAAATCCACGATATATATATCAGAAAATATATATGTATACAAGGACGTTCCGTTTATGCAGCCGAAAGGATCGTGGTCAGACGGACACATCCCCAGAAGTTCTCCGGAAAAAAGTCGCTTTTGTACCATGACGGATGATTTCGAAGTTTGGGTGGCCGATCCACTGTCGAATATTGTCCTTGGTCCCAGTGAAGAAGTTGTCCGCTACAATAACCTGAAATTGAGACAACACGGAACCAGGTTCAAAGGCATCACTGCATACTATCTCAAGAACGGCGACCTTAGAATCCGGGAAAAGGAACATGAATGAAATGTCGGATGAAAAAGCAAGCCAGTTTGACAAAACGAACCTCATGGCCGGCTTCCATAAGCCTGTCGACAAGGTGAGATCCAATAAATCCCGCACCTCCTGTTACAAGCACTCTCAGGCGAGGCTGCACGAGAGAAATACAAACAACAAAAAGTAGAAGAAAAAAGGAACGAAAAAAAGCAGAGCATAAGTTGAAAACTAGGGAAACGCAGACTAAAAAAACGGTAGCTCTACTATATGTTGGCAAAGACGGGCTGAATGTGCTGCTAGGAAGAAAAACGAGATAGAAAGCCATCGGTTTTAAACGATCACTTCCTTCAACTTTCGACCATGATGTTAGAATCATGAAAATGCGTGTTTGCACGCTAAGCAGCAAGAAAGACAAGGCCTCTTGAGAACAGAGGAGCAGAAAAACAACGATCACGTACGCTAGAATATTTAGACTGCCTGATCGGCGATGGAGGAGGGGGGATTCTCCTGGTCTCGCCTCCATTCTCTGACGCCTTGTCCCCAGCATCACTCATCTTGAAGGCCTAATACAAGAGAGCTCTGACCACCAAGACGAGTCACAGTCACTTGCCAGAAAACGGCCTGTGGCTGGGAGGCGATTAAGTTACAAGTGAGTGACTGACTCTGATCTGAGGCTCTGGAAGTGAGGTCTGAAAGTGGCTCTGATCTGAAGGCCTACACAGATGAATCTCTCAGATGCAGAAATCACAGTTTGAGTCGCGCGGGGAGCAGAGGTCGGGGAAGATGGAGTAGCGACTTACTGTAACAGTATAGCTGCGAACGAGAAGTTCTTCGTCAATGGCACCTGCGACCGGGTTCGTGCGAGGAAACGGATTCCCAACGTATTCGCCCAAGTTGTCTGATCTGGGTGATGTTTGATTTGATGATAGAGCTTTTGCGCGGGAAAACGTTTTCGTACTTCTCCTGCGTGCCGACGAGGCATCAGCCTGACAAATTTGGTGGAGGCTCGTGTCGTCGACGACTTTCATGGGCGACGTTTGGAGGTTGGTACGACTTTGGTGCTACAGTAAGGCACCCCGAAGAAAAGGGAGGGAAGACCAGTTCAGCCTAGTTCCTGCCCGAGTTACACGAAATGTTTGCGTGCTTCTTTCTGCCCGTCGTTAGTGATTTACCCCCCACAAAGTGCGAGACGTGCCATGGCCGTCGATTTCGGAGTACAATAATTGACTTATAACAAGCCGTTACAAATATCCACCTGCGATGATCGGCAAGACGACGGAAGTCGTCAAATTGTCAAGTGGGGAAAAACTTTATATTAATTAACCCACTTCGTCCTACCGCTACGAGCTCGCATATCTAATTGTAATAAAAACACAAGAGCAAATTACAATCAGCATTTTTCCCCTATTCCCCTCCTTCTTTCTTCCTCTCTCCTTTTTTCTACTCACGTTATTCCTCCTTTTCTCCTCTCTTCCCGTTTCCACTCCTTTTCCTTGCGTAATTATGCTACATTGTAATATTTTGAAGTATATAGTTTATGTAAGGAAGCAAAAAAAAAATGCATCTAGTAAGGTGCAGGATGGAAAAAAAAACACAGCATGCTCGGCTCTTACGGAATAACTGACATTCATAATTACACAAAAGACAACCGCCAATTATAAAATAGCCTCCACACAATACGTATTGTTCTAACAATTGTACAAATAGCATGTTTACATAAGAGCAGTTATGCATTTTCTAGTAATTTATTATAATTGTGTTAAAAAGAATATACGATAGTATTTTACTGTGACTCAACTATACATTGCAGGATTGGATAACCATGGTTTCATGGAAATTAGAAGTTGCACTATTACTATCGAGTGTGTTTCTAGCATGGAAGCTTCCATAACCCCGACCCACTGGTATTTTTGGTCGGCTGCCCTGTCACGCTGCATCCAACGTTACGATCGCTTAGTCTCTGCGCCAGCGGTAGCCAGCCACGTCGCTTACCACCAGCGCCCTAGATGGCGACGCGAAACACCCTCGCGGCTCTTTACAGCGTGAATTCCGCTCGGCTTATCCTGCTCGCGTCGCTCTCGCTGCTGTCCCTCTCTTGCTCCCATGCCACGACGCTCTCACCTAAGGAATGCGAAGCGCTCGGGTTCACGGGGCTTGCTCTCTGCTCCGATTGTGACCAACTCGCCACTTTCGTAAAAGACGCCAGTGAGTGGTTGGGGGGCGGGGGGGGCATCTACAGTGCATGCGATCATGAAAATATCTTAGCCCTTCACTCGGCTTCTACGATCTTCGTGTCTATCTGCTTGGATTGCTTGCAACACTCAGTCCTACATTCAACGAAGCGCGATTTTGAAATCGGGGACTGATCCAATCATTCACTTCTTGAGCGAGCGCCCGTCGTGCATCCTCCATCCAACCATTTCATCCCAATCCTTCCATTCCCGCCCGTCGATACGCGTCTCCGTACCTTGCTTGACCTTATCTGACCTAACTGTATCCTCCAGATCACTCCAAATCCTGTGACGAGACCTCCGCAACTGTTCTCAAAAGCCGTTCTCCCCGACGTGACTCGACATTCCTTTCCCTCCCATCTGCCCTCCCTCCCATCGTCCTTGCCTCCTATGCTCCGTGCGTGCAAGCAGAGCTCGAGGCGGAGTGTCGAAGCTGCTGTGTCACAGACGAAGACACGTCCACCCAGCAGGTCCCATCCTTTCCCTTGCCTTCCCTTCCATGTTTGAGCCGACTCAAAAATCGACTCGGCGTGTCGCAGCTGCTGTGTCATAGACGAAGACACGTCCACCCAGCAGGTCCCTTGCGCTCTCTTCCCTTCCCTTCCATCTCCTGCTCCGCCTCCTCTTCTCCAATCCGTTCCAATACCCTCCATTCCAGTCTCACTCCCTGACCTTCCTTATCCCCTCATCGATCCTCACTTCCCTGATCTGATTCGATTCATTGATGCCATCATGCCATAGTATCGGCAGTGCTGGATGGTCGCGTGTATGAGGCGAGTGTGCTTTGATTGCCCTGCCAAATGACGTATCAGACGTCACAATAGTGTGTATGAGGCAGTGCATGCGCTGCCAGACGTCACTCTACGTCTGAAATTATTCTCTCATATCATTTGCCTATCCCTCATCTGATATCCCTTGTCTCATGTCCTTTGCGTCCTCTCCTTCGTCTCCCCTTTCGGAACTCACACCCACCCCCTCCCCCGTGCCAGTACGCATCCGCAGTGCTGGAGGTGTGCATGAGGCGCGTGCAGTGGATGCCAGTTGTTGCAGAGTTCATTGAAACCAAGGCGGCCAGCTTCCCCAACCTGCAGGTGATCTGTTTACTCCACTCAAAAGCCACTCTGGAATGATAATCTAAACCAACGCGGCCACCTATCCCAACCTGCCACCTTCCTTCACCCTCTTGTGTCCCCCCACCTTCCCCACCCGCACCGATTTTCCGTCTCCTACTCTCCTCTCTTGCTCAGACACACACACGCATGCTAGCATATTCCACCATATCCCCCTTCCCATCCTGCTGCCCACTCTCGCTTCTGGTTTTTCCTGCCCTTTCCCGTTGCCCCACACGACCCAAATCCTTCTCAGACCCAGAAAGGAAATCATTATTTTTTGTCACTCTTTTTTCTGCCTTGTCCCTTCCTTTTCCAACTCGTCTTCCTTGTCTGCGCCAGTTGCCATTCCTCCCCTTGCACCCTGTCCCAACCTGCCACCTTACTGCCATTTCCCTCCCTTCTCCAGATCCCTGCGAAACCATTCCTTCTTTGCAATCCTTCTGCCCAACCCCCTGTCTCTCTGGAACAATCTCCTTGCTCTCTCTTTACTTCTCTCTCGCTCCCACTCTTACCAGGTCCGCTACCGAATCAATGCTCTCCCCAAGCTCATCATGAAGGACGCCGAGGGAAAGAACGCTGATGTCATTAGGTGAGTCATGCCCATGCTGATGATATCATTATATGGCTAAAGACTACTACTACCCATTCTCTTAGGTCACCACCAGGTCCCACAGTTCATTCCCCCACTCTCCCCTTTTCCCCCTCCTCCCACACCACCCCACGCCCCCCTTCCCCTTACTCTTCCATGCTCTTACTCATACTACTCTTTCCCCTTCCAAACATGCCTCGTCTTCCTGGTATGTGTTTCAGGATTGAGAACTGGAAGATGGAGCACATTGAACAGTTTCTTAAGGAAAAACTCACCGATGGTAGTGCTGCCAGTGCTGCTGCTTGACACACATACACTCATACTCTCATTACACTCATGTATCATGTCACATTTGTCCACTCTGGTCTCATTGTCTCGCATTCTCTAGCTGTCGCTGTGATAAAAGATTCGACCCAGGCTGTTGTGATTTTCTGAGGGCTTGATGAATCGGAATTCGGGGCGGGTTTGCTTTGAAGGAATAAATTTTATCGGTTTACCGACTTCCCCAATGTTGTGAATACAATGCAGAAATGCCCACACAAGGCCATCGGACCAAAAGGTATATGGTATATAATATGAAGATTATATGAAACAACATTAAGCGTTTGGGGAGTTGTATGCCCTGGAGCGTAACGAACTACGACTTAGAATTGAAGGTTTCGGGCTTTACGGAAACGAGGCAATAAGGAACAGCGTTTTGGGGCAGGGATGAACTAAACTCCCTCAGCAAGGCATGCCCTTCGGAATCGATAAATCCTGAACTCGGTGATCAGTTTCCATGTTCAGTGTATCCCCCCCAAATCGCAGGATGCTCCCAATGGGGTAAAATGTTTCTGCCCCTGCCCATAATACTATTCACTCTTGGTACTGTACATGTCAAAATGAGGAATGGATCATGCATTGATGTTGGTTGGGGTACATATAGCTAACCCTAAGTTTTGTACCCCCTAAGACAAACCTCACTATAGGCTACAACATTTGACACACCCCCATAGCCTAAGTGAGGGGTGTCTAGCAGAACCAAACGAGTACGGTCACAAGACCAGTCCAAGAAATGAAGCTCAGGGTGGATCACAACGTCACCACACAGTCTGAGCACAAACAACAGTGGCCACAAGGCCAGTCCAAGAAGTAACAGAGGTATATAGAAAGCAAAGTAAACAGTACACTCAAGCCTAAGCAACACGAGAACCAGTGTCAACAAGGCCTAACTGCACACAGCACCTCTGGTGGTCACAAGGCGGAAGCGCCTTGGTGAAGATGTCTGCAGTGTTGGCCTCGGACTCCACAAACTCAAAGCGAGCCTGTCCACGCCTCTGCAACTCTCGCAGAAGAAAGTACCTGACGTGAATGTGCTTCACTCTGCTCTCCAGTCGTGGCTCTCGACAAAGGAGAATAGACGCCTTGTTGTCAGTGAACAAGGTCGGTGCAGAGCTCGGCCGCTCACCAAGGTCGGTGAGCAAGAAGGTCAACCAACGCAGCTCCTGTGCCGCCATGGCACCAGCGTAGATCTCAGCCTCAGCTGTAGAGGTCGAGACCGAAGAGGAGCGCGTGGACCGCCAGGAAACAGCTCCAGAACCCAGGCTGAAACAGTACCCCTGAGTAGACCTGTGAGTCTCAGCGTCGTCAGCGTAAGAGGAGTCACAGTGACCAGTAAGTACGACAGACTGCTGCCCTCCAAGAACTAGCCCCACGCCTGACGTCGTCGCTAGGTACTTCGCCACCCTCACAGCTGCTGTCCAGTGAACAGGACGGTGTCTCCCTGGCACAACAAAGCGCGCAAGAACGCTGAGAGGGAAGGCGAGGTCCGGGCGAGTACAAGTCATCAGGTACATGAGGCAACCCACAAGCTCTGCGTAGGGACCACTAGGCTCGAACGGCTCGTCAGGAAAGGGTCCAGTGAGTCTGTGGTCAACAGCAAGAGGTGTGCGCTGTACTGTGGAGTGCTGAAGCCCGAACCGCTGAAGGACCTGCTGCACCATGTGCGACTGTGAAAGTGTAATGGTGCGAGCAGCTCTGTCCCTGGTGATCTGCAGGCCAAGGTAGTGGCGCAGCTCACCAAGATCAGTGCAGGTGTGTCTCTTCTGCAGTTCGGACTTCACGTGTGCCAAAGCAACCCTGTCAGGGGTGGCGAAAACAAGGTCGTCAACGTAGACCAGAACAAAGAAAGGTGTGGGGCCACGACGAACGAACAGCGACGGGTCAGCAGAAGACGGCTGGAACCCAAGGTCAGACAGGGTAGAACGCAGGGTGTCGTGCCACTCAC